GCCGACGGGCGGCGGCTGTTGACTGACGGGCACTGGCGCGCCTGCGCCCGGCTCGGCTGAGCCGACGGCCTCCGAGCGGAACACCGGCGGACGGCGGCTGTTGACTGACGGGACTGGCGCGCCTGCGCCCGGCTCGGCTGAGCCGGCGGCCTCCGAGCGGAGCACCGACGGGCGGCGGCTGTTGACTGACGGGCACTGGCGCGCCTGCGCTCCGCCGGCTGGGCCGGCGGACGGCGGCTGTTGACTGACGGGCACTGGCGCGCCTGCGCCCCGCTCGGCTGGGCCGGCGGACGGCGGCTGTTGACTGACGGGCACTGGCGCGCCTGCGTCCCGCTCGGCTGGGCCGGCGGCCTCCGAGCGGAACGCCGGCGGACGGGGCTGTTGACTGACGGGCACTGGCGCGCCTGCGCCCCGCTCGGCTGGGCCGGCGGCCTCCGCCCGCGTCGGACGGACTGACCTGGGCTTGGTCACCACTGGCCGAGGCCTGCTGGAGAGGCCTTGTCCGGCCAGTATTGCGGTTTTGCGGTCTCAGATTTCCAGATGACTTGTTGAGGTCGCTTCCGGAGGGGGGGAAGGGGGGGTCTCTGGGTTGTGCCGGTGTTTGGGCGGGCGCCGGGCGACGCGCCGTCTCAGCTGCTCAGTGGCTCGGAGCCCGTGGCGCAGGCGTGACTGCTGTTAGTCTGTGTGCCCTGTGTGTTTATAAAGGCCGGGGAGACAGGGAAGTGACATGCTGCTTGTATTGGATGTGCATGTCACCGCGCTTTACAGTTCAGTATTCTCCACTTGGGTATGCCGCGCTCCTCAAGCTCCTGTACGTGCTCCTGTTCGTTCTTGTGGGTGCCCCCCCCCCCTGCCGTCGGCCTCGCCGCCCCGTCACACATCTGGCCCGGCCGGCTCGCCGGACGCCGGGCCGTGTGCACGGGCGGCTGACGCTGTGTCATCGGCAGCACCTCCTTGCGGGCGGCGCGCGACGAGTGCCTGCGCCACCTGACGGACCAGATGGCGCGCTGCTCGGACGAGGCTGGCGTCGCGCTCGAGCTTGACGGCCAGCTCGTCAACAGCGACGCACAGTTCGGGTTCGCCCCGTTCGTGATCGCCAAAGGTTCGTGGATCGGCCGCGGTGAGCCGACAGCGTCCGGCGCCGTCAGTCTACAGACGCGTAATTACAGCTCAAGTGGCTGGTGCTCGGTGATTTTCTCGTGGCTCAAATAAATCGTGCGCCTTCCCCAAGCTTTAGTTGTGTGGCATTGCGTAATTTTCAAGAGCGTTTTGCGATGTTGTTCGGCAGATGTTGCGCTTACGCTATGGAATCATTGCGTCGTCGCGTAGCCCCGTTATTCTCCCCCACCCGACGTCTAGCAGCGTGGCGCCGTGGCCCGTCTGCTGGCGGCGGTGGCCTGCGCTGTGCCACGGCCGCGGTGCCTGCTCTCTCGGGGTCTTCTGCCCGCGACCCCGCCGTCCTCTCGGTCCTCCGCCTGTGAGGTCTGACCTGAGCTGCCTCTGATGCCGCCGGGCGCGCGGCAGGCTCGGATGTGCCGGCCGTCTCGCTGGAAGGCGTGTTCAGCCTGACGGCGTCTACACCGGCCGAGAACGCGCGTCGCCTGCTTCGCGCGCTGCAGTTGACCAAGCCGGTGCTGCTGGAGGGCAGCCCCGGCGTGGGCAAGACGAGCCTGGTGGCGGCGCTGGCGCGCGCCTCCGGACACCGACTCACCCGCATCAACCTCTCCGACCAGACGGTACGTCCTCTGTGAAAGTGGTGTCTCGCGGGTGATCCATGTCAGCAGGCGCATCACCGGCCGACTGGTGACCTCTCCTATCGGACGGAAGGTCTACCGCTGACGTAAGGACCTGGCCACACCGCTTCGGTCGCGCCACCGCTGACGTGAGGACCTGGTCACACCGCCTCCGTCGCGCCACCGCTGACGTGAGAACCTGGCCACACCGCCACGGTCGCGCCACCGCTGACGTGAGAACCTGGCCACACCGCCTCGGTCGCGCCACCGCTGACGTGAGAACCTGGCCACACCGCCACGGTCGCGCCACCGCTGACGTGAGAACCTGGCCACACCGCCACGGTCGCGCCACCGCTGACGTGTGAGAACCTGGCCACACCGCCTCGGTCGCGCCACCGCTGACGTGAGAGCCTGGCCACACCGCCTCGGTCGCGCCTTTGCGTCAGCGAATGTGTCGGAGGTGTTCTGGTATCATTTCAAGCTGTGTCTGCTTCTCAAACGTGGACGGTATATCCCCCCCGCAGGACGTGTCTTACCTGTTCGGGGGCCGACCTGCCGGTGGAGGGCGGCGCCGCGGCGGACAGTTCGCCTGGCGCGGACGGGAGCCGCTGTCTGCAGGCAATCAAGGCCGGACACTGGGTCGTCCTTGGGACGAGGTGAGCCAGGCTGCGCTGGCGGCAACCGGGCGCCGCGTACGCCCGCGACGGACGGGTCGGCGACTGGGCCGCCCACTGGCCCCTAGTTCGGGTTCCAGAGAATCAGCGGCTGTTTTGACCGGCCGTTGGCCGCGATGGTCGGCTGGTACCTGGCCAGAGAGCAGCAGCTGCTCTGTGGCAGAATGACGCGGGAGCAACTGGGCTGCTTCGTATGGAAATATGCTGAAGCCGTACTGTCGGACAAAGAACTCAAAGTGATTCCGGTGAAAGGAATAGCAGCACTTGGGTGTTTGCATCGGGGCGGCGAGCAAATCGGTTGAACATCAGCTATTAAGTACTCAAAACAAACATTTAAACAGCGTGCAACACAGAACGGGAGAAGAAGGGCTAGATTACGATGGACGTGTGTGGATAGTTGGACCGCGCTGGACGTGGGTGGGGTGGTTTGGACTATGCTGGACATGGATGACGGGTCGGATCGCGCTAGGCGTGGTATGACGGTTTTGGACCGCACTGGACTGGGGGTAACGGTTGGACTACGTTGGATTACCGGGGTCAAGGAGCCACAGTGAATAGGAGACGAGGCGGGTTGAACCACATTGAACAGGAAACGGGACAAGCTACACCACGTTGAACAGTAGACAGGGCGAGCTATACCACGTCGAACAGGAGACGGGGCGAGCTACACCATGTTGAATAGGAGACGGGGCGAGCTACAGCACGTCGAACAGGAGATGGGGCGAGCTACACCACATAGAACAGGAGACGGGGCGAACTACACCACGTTGAGCAGGAGACTGGGCGAGCTACACCACGTTGAACAGGAGACGGGGCGAGCTACACCACATAGAACAGGAGACAGGGCAAGCTACACTTCGTTGAACAGAAGACGGGGCGAGCTTAACTACGCCGCTACAAAGCTACAGGGCTGGGCAATGTAAACGGTGCGGATTAGCTGGATGTTTATTGAGAGCCTCCAAAGCGTTGATGGTTTTCCCATGGACCACCTTACAACGCGTTCAGACAACACATAAACATGATGCTTGCATGAATCGATTTTGAATTTGTTTTTCCTTTCTCGTGCTCTCCGTGGATTGCTTTATGGGAAATCTAGATAAACAATTCACGGGGGCGGAAATCATAAGCATCTGATGTGTGATGCGTGTGTATTGGAACATACGGCTGTTTCGTGGGTACATAATAGCAACAAATGGCAATCAACGCCGAAGGTCTGACGGGCCTGGCTGGGCTTGGACTCGGTGGCTGCCCCTCCGCTACGCAGGGTGGAGCAGTGTTGCGGCACCGGGCGCCCGGCCGCCGGCGGCGCCAGTGCCAGTGCCAGCGCCAGTGCCAGTACCAGTGCCAGCGCCAGCGCCAGCGCCAGCGCCGCTACGGCTCGGGTTCATCGTGCGTTGCATGCATCAGCTCCAGCTGCGCCAGCCGCTGGACACAGTCGCTGTGGCGCTCGATGCACTCGGCCGTCATGCGGTGGTTGCGGCCGAGACTGCGCGTGTACGCCCGCACGCAGGTGTCCAAGATGGGGGCCACCTCGCGGTACAGCTCGAGCGTCATCTGCGGCGGGATGGTGCGCGCCAGAATGTCGCCATGCGCCTTCAGCAGCTCCTGGTGGGTCTCGTCCTTCACCTGGTCGCGCATCGCCTCCAGAAACTGGCGGCGTTTCCTGTTGGTGTGCAGCATGTCCTTCAGCTTGGCGGTGGGGTCGGACCCGTCCGCTTGCGGACCACTGGCGGGCTGCGTCGTCACCTCGAAGTGAATCTCCGGGATGGCCACGGAACGGCGCCGGCCGCGGCCCTTGCCGCCCTGCTGTACGCTGCCGCGCCGCGTCTCCGTGCGCACCTGCATGTCCTGTTTGGCGATGGCTTCGAACGCGTGGCCGACGGAGCGGCGCGACTGATAGCGGCCGGCCGTGTTCATGGCGAAGCCGCGCTCTGTGGCGGCCGCGCCCCCGTCCGGCGGCCGGCTCTGCGGCGGAGGCGTCGACGCCGGCGCTTCCGCCGCCGCCGTCGACGGCGCCCCCTGATTACTGTCGTCTTCAGACATTGTAAACATGGTACGCTGGCCAACTCCGCAGGTGGTAGCGGCCCGGAGTGGAGACGGCAAAAGCTGGCTGGGCTTGCTTCCACTGCTCCAGCTAGCTTAGTGTGAGGTGGTAGAACTTAGTGGTTAGGCTTTAGGCCTGATTGGACTCGCTAGCCGCTGCATTGAGAGTCGTTATCACGGCGATCACGGCTATTCAATCGACTCCATATATCCGGTTATCACGGCCACTAGGCCGTTGTCCTTGTTTACAAATTTGCCGCGTGGCAATGCTTGTGGGGAGCTTTCGACCAGTTAGGAAAATTTATTTCCATGTTACCACCACGTTTTGGTTGCATGCGCTCGTACAGCAGATAACAACTTCACCGTGTAGTACTGCTGAATATTCCGGCATATCGATGAAGACGAAAACACAATGAACATTTCAGTGAACATCCACGGTACCTGGAGGTCAAGTTGAGTGCGCCATAGCACGCAAGAACTGATATGTTTTGTTTGCAACGTCCCATGTGCGACTCATCACACCGAGCTGCGGCTGCGCATCGCCTGACCGTCCGCGGACGCCCGCGGACGCCAATCTCAGATGCCGCCAGCTGGCGGTCGAACTGGGGGCATCGACCAATTCGCGGCTGTCCGATCTCCGGTCTGGCATCCGGAACGCGCCGCCCGGCCGGCCAGCCCGCCGCCCGGACCCATGTCCGACCGCTGCGTGTCCGGGCGGCCGGTCCCGCGCCGCCTCAGTCGTCCCCGGCTGATCGCCGCCGCGCCATCGGTCGGCGGCAGGTGTGACGCGCCCTCCGCCGTGCCGCGGTCCGCCGCTGTATGGGCCGCGCTGCCGCCGGCTGTCGGCGCCCGACCGTAACTGGAGCCGGGAGCTCCGGCCGGGCGGTTGTGACGCAGGCGGCCGGTGTCGATAACGCCGGATCAGGGCTCAGAGCAGTGATGCTGAGCCGCGAAGGCGGCGACCAGACGCGTATGTGGTGTAAGGCGACGTCTGCTGATGTGTGTACCGACAGCCGCAGTATTCAGCTGGTATTCTCGCAGTCGCTCTCAATGGGTCACATGAATACAGTGCGAGCTCGCAAGATTCCGCTGACGCCGCCCTGCCAACCGACCAAGGCGCTCGTGGTGATCCCGGGGAGTCTGCAGCAGGCGTGGGGTCGGAGCTAGGGCGGCGTTCGCCTCACCGGCACGCCTGGAGTCCAGGCCGCCGCTGCGTCAGCTCGGCGCGTCTGCCGGCTCATTACGGGACAGCGGCGGCGCGCGCCGCAGACGCCGCGTGCCGTCCCGTGCCGCGGCGGCCCGGCGGCGGATACGGCGCCGCCCGGCTGTCCGGCTTGGTCGTCGGCCGGAGAGCACGAGTCATGAGCGCACCGTCCCTGCCCGGCTCGGGCATTCATATCATACAGGGGGTACGGCCGGCGCAAATAAATGCGTCTGGCCGCGGCCGTACATCACCGTCGGCTCGTCCCTGCCGGGGGGTGGCGACGGTCAGCTCCTTGTTCGCAGGCGACGCCGGGACAGACGGATGAGCGGGCAGACGCCGGGGCAGACGGACGGGCGGGGCAGACAGACGGGCGGGCAGGCGCCGGGAGCAGGCGGACGGGCGGGGCAGACAGACGGGCGGGCAGACGCCGGGGGCAGACGGACGGGCGGGGCAGACAGACGGGCGGGCAGGCGCCGGGGGCAGACTGATGAGCGGGGCAGACAGACGGGCGGGCAGGCGCCGGGGGCAGACTGATGAGCGGGCAGGCGCCGGGGGCAGGCGGACGGATGGGCAGGCGCCGGGGGCAGACGGATGAGCGGGCAGGCGCCGGGGGCAGGCGGACGGGCGGACAGGCGCTGGGGCAGGCGAGCGGGCGGGCAGGCGCCGGGGGCAGGCGGGCAGGCGGACGGGCGGGCAGGCGCTGGGAGCAGGCAGACGGGCGGGGCAGACAGACGGGTGGGCAGGCGCCGGGAGCAGGCGAACGGGCGGGCAGGCGCCGGGGGCAGACGGATGGGCGGGCAGGCGCCGGGGGCAGACGGATGGGCGGGCAGGCGCCGGGAGCAGGCGGACGGGCGGGCAGGCGCCGAGGGCAGACGGATGGGCGGGCAGGCGCCGGGGGCAGACGGATGGGCGGGCAGGCGCCGGGAGCAGGCGGACGGATGGGCAGGCGCCGGGGGCAGACGGATGAGCGGGCAGGCGCCGGGGGCAGGCGGACGGGCGGACAGGCGCTGGGGCAGGCGAGCGGGCGGGCAGGCGCCGGGGGCAGGCGGGCAGGCGGACGGGCGGGCAGGCGCTGGGAGCAGGCAGACGGGCGGGGCAGACAGACGGGTGGGCAGGCGCCGGGAGCAGGCGAACGGGCAGGCAGGCGCCGGGGGCAGACGGATGGGCGGGCAGGCGCCGGGGGCAGACGGATGGGCGGGCAGGCGCCGGGAGCAGGCGGACGAGCGGGCAGGCGCCGGGGGCAGACGGATGGGCGGGCAGGCGCCGGGGGCAGACGGATGGGCGGGCAGGCGCCGGGAGCAGGCGGACGGGCGGGCAGGCGCCGAGGGCAGACGGATGGGCGGGCAGGCGCCGGGGGCAGACGGATGGGCGGGCAGGCGCCGGGAGCAGGCGGGCAGGCGCCGGGGGCAGACGGACGGACGGGCAGGCGCCGGGGGCAGACGGATGGGCGGGCGGGCGCCGGGGGCAGACGGACGGGCGGACAGGCGCCGGGGGCAGACGGATGGGCGGGCAGGCGCCGGGAGCAGGCGGACGGGCGGACAGGCGCCGGGGGCAGACGGACGGACGGGCAGGCGCCGGGGGCAGACGGACGGGCAGGCAGGTGCCGGGGATAGGCGGACGGGCGCGCAGGCGCGGGGGGCAGACGGACGGGCAACGCTCGAGAGCCTGCGTTGTTTAAGATCGGGGCAGCCAGGCGGCTGTGTGTTATTTTTATTCATTTGAGGTCATTGAATGAACCTCATCGGGCCGATCATGGTGATGCATGTGACGCGGGTTGCGTTCGTTTTACGTCAGCCCGGTATGCTCTGGCCGATTTTCTCCAGGTGATGTAGTCAGGTCTGTATTCGTGAAGGGTAAAGGCCGCTTTGTCAATGTCTTTTGGTATTTTCACCACGTGGTGTTTTTGTTTTGAGTCAGAAATGACGCGCCGGTTGTGTTTTGTGTCATCCTAGCTGGCAGGCTGCCAGTTAATGTGGGCTTAATGTCTGAGAAACGCAAACACATGTAGATAGTTCTTATCTGAGATCTTCCGAGAACGTGCTCCAGAAGTTATGTGTGGCGCCGCGTTATTGTCAACAGCAGCCCTGCTCCCGGTACATCGTGATTCTATTTTAGATCCATGTAGTCTCTGCGAATTGCTAGCATTTTGCCGCGTTTTTAGGAAGCGTCACAGCCAGACCGCCTTCGCCAGGCGGCGCGGTTGTCTGGACAGCTGGCCCGCCACGGTCCGCCCGCTCACGTGGTGGTCTGCGTGCGTCAAGCACCTGCACCGCGCGCGGATCGCCATCCGATTCCATGTTGATCAGGCCACGACCGACGCCGTCGGGCCGGACCTGATCTTGCCGACGGGATATTGGCTCTGGTATCGTCAGCCGCCAGCTCGCGCCGCCGCTCGACGCGGCCGTAGATCAGCATCGTGTCGGGCCATCCACGCGGCTGACCTTCCCCGGCTGCGCGGACCAAGCTGTCGCCCCGCGCCGCCCGGGCACGCCGGCCGCCGACGCGGCGCCGGGCCGCTCCCTGTGGTATAGGCTCCGGGCCATGCTCCGAAGCGGCTCGCTCGTGAAGACTGGCGCCGCGCGGCTGGAAAGTCAGCTACGGGAGGGGGAGGGGGCTCATTGATGAGCGCTACAGCGGTTAATTAACAGTGTGCCTCCGAAGATGGAGAGCCCCTGGGGATCAGTCAGCGGCAGTCTGCTATAGCGAGAGGATCGCTGAGATTCGCTGTGTGGCAGTCAGGTAAAGGGAGCCCCTCTGAAAACCATCCCGTAGCAGTCGGGCACCAGGGATGGCGGTCAGATGTACGGGTATGAGGCACGTTCTTAGAACTGCCCCGCAAATCACGCTTTAGCAGTCAGCTGTTCAGAATCAATGTATCATATGTGGATCATCACATAACAGTCAGATGAGATGGCTCCTAAACATGGCTGCGGTCAGCTGGACGCTGGGCTGACAGTCACCACACATACGTTTGTCCAGTTGGGCGTCGGTGATCTGGCTATCGAATAATTTTATTCCCAATGGTCACGTGACTTCACAGAAGTCCAATTCCGCCCCATTGCCATTTTATTACATCTTCGTTCTTGGGATCTGAGTTCGGGCCGGAGCAAGGTCTGAGAGCAGTTTAGAGAGATGTAAAACCGTGTGACTATGGAGATATTGCTAGACGGCCGTTTTATGAGGCCTTTCGGTGCTGGGGCAGATAGTTCCGGTGAGATGTAGTTTGATAACCGGCCGTCAGAACGGTCAGTAGGCGTGGCTTCCGCAGCAGAGAAGATCGCTGCGCTCCGCCCTCGCTCATCGCCGTCATGCGGCGTTCGAAGTGCATGGTGACTGATAAGCTTATAACTTTCATGATGTTTTGGGAGATCACAGGCGAACATTTAAAAATTCATGGTTTTCAATTTGCTACCGCGTTGTGCGTTCAACAGCAAATGTATGCCATCCGTTGTAAATAATGTTCTCGCAAGCTGCCGGGTCGACCATTCTGACTAATGACTGCATGCAGTGTAAAACACCCCATTCGTTACCTCGGACCAATTACTGCGCCATAAAGCAGCGGCGTGTGTGGAGAGGCGGCCGCCGGTGTCGCGCCGGCGTGTCAGCCCCGCCGGCCTCGGCGCGCGCCCGGCGCATGCCGCTGACGCCGCGCCGCCGCCCAGCCGTAAATCGCCGCCGAGCGCGGCGGCGCGTCTCATTCAGGGCGCTCGGCGCTGCTGGATGACCGTGGCGACGACGGCTGCGCGCCGCGCGCCGATAAAGCTGTCCCGGCCGAGCGGCGCGCCGCTCGCGCCTCCGGATCTGGCGTCCGGGTGACGCCGCTGTCCCGGACAGCTGGCGCCCTCCGATAGGGCTGATTTAGTTTAGAAGCCGTACTGAAGGACGGCTTAGGGTCTTAGGGTCTTGGGTCTTCAGCGGACGTGCTGGTACCGGCGCTGGGGCGACTGTGTGGCGCTCTCGCTAGGACCACGGTCTGGCACTGGTGTTGGGACCACGGTATTATGCTGGTGGGGGGGGGGGGGGGAGGGGGTTCTGCGGTGGTCGACGTACGCGGATGCCTGGCCGCCGCTCTCGTCGCCCACCGCAGAACCCCCCCCCCCCCCCCCCACACACACACTGGGATCACGGTCTGATGCTCTCGCTTGGACCACGGTCTGGCACTGGTGCTGAGACCACGGTCTGACGCCCTCGCTTAGACCACGGTCTGGCGCTGGTGCTGGGACCACGGTCTGGCGCCCTCGCTGGAACCACGGTCTGGCGCTAGTGTTGGGACCACGCGCTGATGGCGCGCCGTTAGATGAAGCCGTCGGGAGCACGCGGGGGGGGGGGGGGGGGGAACTCGCGTCTGTAGGGAGGCCGGCCGCCCAGGTACGCGCCCGGACTCAGATGACATTCCATGGTTGCCGTTATGACCGGAAGCTGACCATGGCGGCCGGCTCCGTTACCTTCAGTTGGGTTTCCCTCCAATGGTTGCCAGTCAGGTTCTGTGAGATCTGGGGCGAGTTAGGTGATAACTGATATCAGCATTATCGCCACGCAAATGATATCTAAGCTCGACTGAGTGGAACACGAGGGCGCCGCGTGGGTTCGTTGTCTTTTGACTCCCATTTATATTTCGCTCCAAGCTCCTGGTGTTGTGATGAAGAAAAAAGAGAAAATAACCTGCAGAATGAACTTAATAAAACCGGGTCCCAAAGGAATTTTTTCTGACGTTTCGTCAGCCGCAGCACATTATCAAGGTGAAAGTTCACTTATGATTTGATAGAACCATGGGAATCTGTATTAGCCGTTTTCACGTCGGACCAATTGATTACAAGTTTTTGATAAGTTTAGGAATGTTTCTATGAAATTTTAGCAAATGATAACCTTTTTGACAAGGAAAACATTGTTTTCATGCAATTTCATCAACATACAAGAGGCAGGCCACATGTATCCAAGTAAAAATAAGTTTTTTTTCATTGAAAGAGACCTTCTTTAGACATTCCCCCTGCCTTCAGTTCGGCCCAAATTCTAGGAGAATAGGCCTGGTGATCAGCGCCGCCTTATTGTTTTCGTCGATGCTGTATGGAGGAAGGCGGACTTTGGGGATCATGTCATTCAAGGATCATTCGTCTTGGATCATGTTGAGGTATGTAAGTCTTGTCAGCTCTGTAAGTACTGTAAGCAAGCTCTGTAGGTACTGTGAGCTCTGTAAGTACTGCATACCTGTGAACAGGGCCACTACAAGGATATGTGTGTTGGTTTTGTCGCGTCTGCGTCAGATATACCACCTCACGTTTTTCATAAGGGCTGAAAATTTTCGGTAGGGAGGGATCTGACATCGCACCTGTCCATCAAAGCATGATCTTGCGTATAGCCATCCAACCACGATCTTTTCAAATTACGCGTATTTACAAGCGTGGTTTTACTCCTTTGCGAAACGTTTCTTGCCGAACATCGCTCATGCAAGGTATGTGGCTAGAAAATGAACACAGAAAAGGATTTTAAAAGTTTTCAGAAGTTTTGCACCGCAATCCTTCGTGGAGACAAGTACTATGCACTTTGTTCATGACTATAGTTCGCAACCTTGCATTTGCTTAGGCGTCTGTATATTAGTTACATCGTATATGCGATACGGAAGTGAACAGAGATACAATACTGAGAGACCTCGTATTTACATAATCAAACTGTTCATTCACGAAAGGTAGCACATGGCTGGTTCACCGGGAAGGCGAAAACAGCCATGGCGTACGCAATTGATAGAAGTTCCTAAATGTGATATGGAGTTTCTGACGTTCGCTCCCGTAAGCGAGGATGGCTGTGTTCTCCGCGAGTTCAGGTCAAGTAAGCTCGCGGCTATTGACTTCCTCTGTTCGTTGTAGAATGGGCCGCGGACTGTAGGTGGCAGGCCAGGCGGCAGAGAGGGAGAGAGTGAGGGATCATGTGTGCAATCCATACAGCTTCTAGTCATGCAATCTTCGCTTATGCATTTGTAGGTATGTGTGATATCTGCAACTCTCAGCTTGCTCTGTGTTTTCGATATCATTTATTGTCAGGTTAGATTGCGTCATTTTCTGGAGGGTAATCGTTTGAACCTCGTTGTCTTCATTCAAAGATGTCACGCTTTTAATACGGTTTTTGGCAACGTCTTGTCAGCTTGGTAAATCTCACTCGTTTGGTTTTTGTGGTGCGCTTCCGGCGTTTGTGTTTGTCTACCTCCCGTCCTTTTGCAGTGTCTTAATTAAGGCCTCGTGGAATGGGTTTTTGTTGGAGCTCCAGTTTGTTTGCATGACAATTGCTTGTTGGCCAGCATATTTTTTAATGTTTGCAGTTCTTTGCGTGAAAGCTGCCATGGTGCGCAGATGAGAGAATCCTCTGTGTGTAGCTGGTAGCTTCGGTTGTGTTCCGTTGAGGGCATTTGACGACAATGCCTAACAACGTATGAATGCCGGCTGATTCCCTGTTCGGGGCCGCATGCGCATGACCGACTTCAGTGGATGGCGCCGACCCAGAGTTCGCTGATGCCATTACCTGTGGTTTCCTCCGTGCCTCGTGTCGTCGCGACTCTCGTCCGTGTCCGGATGTGGTCTGTTTCAACCCGTGTTGTACAGGTGCACTGTACATCCGTGTCTGCGGACTTCGTGTCTTCCGCGGTAATCGAATGAGAGGGTGAGATGTCCATCACATCGCAACACGGCAAGAAAACCAAGGCCCATCAGAGGGCTGGCATGCAAATATTTTGAAAGCGTTCAACACAACTACTTAAGTACTTTGTTTTTGGTGCTGAAAGCCGTATGGCGGCGACGCCTTCAGCGATTGCTTGGATACAAGACTGACGAAACACTGACTGGCCGGCCCGCCAAAGTCCGCGGATTTCCGGCTAGTTGACTTAAGACAAACTCGGGGCCCGGTTTCGACGAAGATTCTCGAAGCGGGAAGCCATCGACGTGAAGTGCCTGGCTCCGTAGCTGTAGCGTAGTCCGGTAGCTGTTCTGCCTGCCTCAGTCTGTGAAGTCGCCACCGGGTCTGAGATAGTTCGCCACCCACCACCGCTTCATGGGAGAGGGTGTGGGGGGGGGGGGGGGTGAGGGGCAACACTTGGTGGTATGTCAGACATCTCAGCATGTGCGATTTCAGCTATGCAACCGGAAAGCTTGAAATGACAGTCCATACCCATGACCATTCCCACCTGAAACATTTAGGTGATACTTCCAACATTCGTAATGAGACACCTGTCCCTCAAGTCACTGTCAAATGAATAATGGATCCGCAAAATCTTTGATTGACTTCAACGCTCTGGAGCATCTGTAGTAATTGCCATATAACTTTTCAACCAACGCCAGATAAAATAATCAGTTCTATTGCATCAGATTCCTACCATAATGCTAACGAATGTCAAACATCAAGGCCAGGCTGTCTCATCTGATCTCAATTCATCGTCCTTAGGGTAACACAACGTGTGTGATTCGTGCCGTGGTTTCGAAACGTAGCAGCTAAGCCGGGTGGTTAATCACAAATGGGCTTGACAATGATTCTTCTTCGACATCTACCAGTTGACCTCACATAGCCTCTGATGACCTGGCTCAACCTTCCGTGTCATTGCTGACCAAAACCAGCCGTCGAGTCACCCGACGAATTACATAAACACAGGGCAAGGTGAAGGGCGCGCCTGAAGAGCTGCGCTTCAGGCGATAACCGCATTCCATGCCTCCCCTAGCGACGTCGCGACTTAGTTGGCTGGCATACCATCGGTTATTTCTCCGTCAAGTGTGCGAAAAGTCAATCACCTGTCAAGTACTGAAAGTTTCGTAGCTCTGCCTGAAATACTGAAGAGGATATCCTCAGAACTGCAATCTCGAGGAAGGGGAGGGAGTACTTTAAACCTACTCCGTTGCTGCTGCGGGATTGGATTGTTCGCCATTTGCCGATCATGCTGCTCGAAAGCAGTAGGTATGCTTTCGCCATTCTTTGACATACAGGCTGTTGGACTACAACAGGCACTTAATGCGTTGTAAACACAACACGTATGCATTTCCTGAACTACGCCCTCATATAGCGTCACTGTTAGGTATGCACTGTCATCATGCGTACTGTGCATATGCATTTGCTGTAAGTAAAAATGTTTTAGGCTTCTGTTTTGTAGCATTATGGGTAAGCAGTTCTTATTCTGACAACCATCGACCTTCAGTAGGCAGTAAGTGCTGCTTAAACGACGTTGTCAAGCAAGCATTGACTTGACACGGCCAGTGTTCTTAAAATGACAAGACGTCTAACCTACCCGATTCAAAATAAGGGACAAAGCAATCTGTGTCACCAAGGCCAAACATTCGTATTGATTCAAAATCTTTGAATCGACGCTCGCCTGAACCCTGCAAATATTTGTGGTGGATGGATCTATCCCTCATTCAGATTAATGGGCCCGTCATCAGTGCCGATAGCTCCCCGGGCGGGCGGGCTTTTGGGCCGATCCTTTTGGCGGGCGTTCCGTAATCAATGACTCATTACTGATGGCCGCGGCTCGTTTGAGCCGGGCGGGACACCCCGGATAAGGGTGCGAACAAGGCGCCATCGCGTCCGCGCCCTGGCCGGGGGCGTACAGGGGCGAGTCGGACGCTCCAGACGCCGGCGTGGCCATGCGGCGGTCACGCACGGTCGGCCACGGTGCCACAGGGCCTCATCCCTCGTCTTACGTGCCCGATGGGCCTCCAGGGCTGACCACGTGTCTTTGAGCCTGCTGTCGCCGTGTACCGGTCCGCCGGCGCGGGGCCGCTGCGCTGCGCGGCGTCCACGACTTGACCTGCCGGTGCGGCTCCAACCCCTCACCGCCGCGGCCTGACCTGCCGGTGCGACTCCGACCTTTCGCCGCCACGGCCTGATATGGTGTGGCTCTGACGTCCCTCCGCCGCGGCTTGACCCGGTGTGGCTCTGACCTCTGGCCGCCACGGCCTGACCTGCTGGTGTGGCTCTGACCTCTTACCGCCGCGGCCTGACCTGGTGTGGCTCTGACCTCTCGCCGCCACGGCCTGACCTGGTGTGGCTCCGACCTCTTACCGCTGCGGCCTGACCTGGTGTGGCTCTGACCTCTAACCGCCGCGGCCTGACCTGATGTGGCTCTGACCTCTCGCCGCCACGGCCTGACCTGGTGTGACTCTGACCTTTCGCCGCCGACAGCTGAACCTGGCGTCACAGTCGGTGCTGGAGGGCCTGAACGCCTGTCTGGACCACCGCGGCTCGGTGTTCGTGCCAGAGCTGGGGCGCACGTTCGCCCTCCAACGGGGCGTCACGCGCATCTTCGCATGCCAGAACCCGCTGCACGAGGGCGGCGCGCGCAAGGGCCTGCCCAAGTCCTTCCTCAACCGCTTCACACAGGTGAGACGGCGCTCGGTGTGATGTGTGACGTGTTACACGTAATGTGTGGATTGTGTGACGTGTGACATGTGACATGTAACATGTAGCATGTGGTCATGCGGGACTTGAGCACAAGAACCTGTGCCGATCACTCGGCTGGTGCAGCGTGGAAGCGTCAGTGACGGTTCAGGTATTGCTGGCCACACTACGGCAAGTCCTCATCGATCACCTATGTTGCGATTCGTCTTACGCGCTGCTGTGGAGACGATGCCGCCGTACTCCCACCCGTCGCATCCCTGGCCGTGCCCGACTCGGCCGTCCTCAAACCTCACACAGCGACGGCTGCTGCGAGCGCGCACGTGCCATTGTCCGTCTGTAGTTTGCCGCAGTGGGAGGCTTCCGAGAATTCGTAGACCGCTCGAGGAACTTTTGCGTATGAGTAAGAGGGGTTCCTCAGCCTTTCATCCGCGTCCGTTATTTGGTTTTCTATCCGACTTGCAAACATTACAAGATGAATATTTTGCCTTCAAGATTTGCTGCGCCGAGTGTAATCAACTTTGCGAAAGCTTCATACCAACGACGGAGTCTTTGAAATGGGCAAATAAGATAAGCTAGTAATATCAGAAATAGTCTGTTGTAGGCAATCATACTCCGCGAGCGTGGGGACCGCATTTTCACTCAACCCGTGACCAAGCAACATTATGGTGATCCCGCACGTGGGCATTATGGGCGCCGTAAATCGCTGACGGCCGGGGCCCGTTGGTGGGCGGTGCGAAGCTTCCGGCCGTTGAACAGGGCGGTGGACGGCGGACTGAGCCGGCGAGACTTGCGCCGGTGCCAGGTGAGGCCGGCTAAAGGTTCCGTGGGGGTGCCGGGGACGGTCATCCCCGGCCGGAGGTCCTCCGGTGGGGCCGGGACGGCCACCCCCTGCCGGAGGTCCTCCGACGGCGGCCACCCCCGGCCAGAGGTCCTCCGGTGGGGCCGGGACGGCCACCCCCGGCCAGAGGTCTTCCGTCGCGCCAGGGACGGCCACCCCCGGCCGGAGGTCCTCCGGTGGGGCCGGGACGGCCACCTCCGGCCAGAGGTCTTCCGTCGCGCCAGGGACGACCACCCCCGGCCAGAGGTCTTCCGGCGGCGGCCACCCCCGGCCAGAGGTCTTCCGGCGGCGGCCACCCCCGGCCGGAGGTCCTCCGGTGGGGCCGGGACGGCCACCCCCGGCCGGAGGTCCTCCGGCGGCGGCCACCCCCGGCCAGAGGTCTTCCGGCGGCGGCCACCCCCGGCCGGAGGTCCTCCGGTGGGGCCGGGACGGCCACCCCCGGCCGGAGGTCCTCCGGCGGCGGCCACCCCCGGCCGGAGGTCCTCCGGTGGGGCCGGGACGGCCACCCCCGGCCGGAGGTCCTCCGGCGGCGGCCACCCCCCGGCCAGAGGTCTTCCGGCGGCGGCCACCCCCGGCCGGAGGTCCTCCGGCGGCGGCCACCCCCGGCGGAGGTCTTCCAGCAGCACCGGGACGGCTACCTCCCCCCCCCCCCCCGGCGACAGGTCTTACGGCAGCGCCAGTGGACCAGTACAGAGATCCGCGGTCCGGTCTGCCTCAGGGAGAACAGGCTACCTAAGGAGAAGGCGGGGAAGATCCTGTAGCTTCTCTATTGTCGTAACGTGTGCAGCATAGTTGTATTTGCCTGCTCCACTGCTACAAAGCGGCTAAGGATGGCAGCGAACGGTCCAGTCCGGCATGCGTCCTTAAGAAGTTAGGAGAGCCGCAGTCGTGCCTGGCATGCATTTGGCGTATGAACCTCTCATATATTGTTGCTGGGATAAATGTAGCTGCGGACATTTGACATTATTGTGTTGGTCTAAGCATTTTGAGGATGCATTTCCAAGCACTTTGATATGGTGCGCTGAAACAGCTGGGTCGACTGTCATCAGACCTTCACCGTCGGGTACGGCGGCCCGATGGGGCGACCGCGGCGTCATGACAGGATGGTCTGGGCACTCCGGGTTCAAAGCACTGCTTAATTACCACAACCGGCATTTGGATGTACACCTTCTGCTGTGGGTGCATTGGGTGGCAAGTGATGCGCGCACGAGGCTTCGCTCGCCAAGTCCACTGCCGTTAGAGTGGTGGTGTCCTGCAGCTGGAATCTGGCACAACGGGTCTCGGTAGAGTTTGGGCCTTACCGAAAGACTTGTTGTCAAAGTCCGTTTCGGGATGGACGTGGGCGCGCGCTAGCTTATTCTGTCATGTCTTCGGGCGGGGGGGGGGGGGGGGCTGTGCCGATAACTGGATGGGTCGGAACCGCCAAGTTCGGTGCGCTTTTCTGCGGCCACAGTTTCTGTGGGGATGAGCATTGGTATGGGACGTGTGCGTATTGTGGCACTCGACACACGCGCTCACGTTTCGTTACCCTCCACTGACTAACCCACACCCGGCTTTAGGACATTTCTGTTTCCCAGGGATGTCTAATGAGTCCGTGGAGAATTGAATTGGGCATTGGCTTGCGTCTAAGTAATCTACTGAGCTGTGCCCCGCTCTCCCGCTCACATTCGTCGTCGGCGGGCGTGCTCTCGCGCCCCGCCTCCTCGCCTCAGTTCGTTTGCGTGTGTCGGTGCCGTCTCGCGCCCGGTGCTGCGCCTTTCCGTGAGACGGCGCCGTCATCGTCAACGTTTTGCTGGTGCTCGGAACGTGACGGTAAGTGGCAGCGGCTCGACGTTTTCCGTCGTCGGGGCGGGGCCGCCCGACGGGCTGCTGAAGGCCCATTGGGGTAGGGAGAGAGAGGGAGGGGCGGTGACAGTTTACTTTCGGACCCAACCGGTCTCCGTTAGCAATTCCAAAGAGCCCTGCAGAGAAAGCCCCTCGCAGGCTTCCCGTACTTGGAAGCTTCCTATGATCCCACACTGCCAAGCCCCCTAATCCACCAGGCTCAACGCGCCGTCCCGCGCGTCACCTGCCACCCGGCCACCATGTCGTCCCCGCGCGCAGGTCTCGCCTCGGGGCACGGCGTGGCGCTTCTCCGTGTCGCGGCCCTGAGAACAGTCCAGCGGCGCGACCGCGTGCTGGCTTACTGGGGTCCGAAGTCCAATGTGCTGAAGTCCAAAGCCAATCCTGCTTAGCTACTGCCTGCTCTGACGCTGTTTCATACGCGTGTAATGCAAAAATGATCCAATCTGTGGAATCGCTTGAGTTGCTGTGGCCCGACCCGGGCAACCCCAACGGTGGTCTCGCTCATGCAAGGCAAGAAAACCTGTACCACGGGTAGCCGTGCCATGGTGCTGTATGGCACGGCCTGGATACATTAGTGCGATTTGTCTGGTAAACTGGGTGTAAACTATCTCGTAGTTTGGGCCACTTTGTTTGTGATGTCAGTTTCGATAGGACAGAGGGCTTTGGACGTCTGCTCCGCTCAAGGCGATAGGAACAATAAGGCTCCGCATATCCAGTTGTATTCAGCTGAGATTACTTGATGCCTCGCGGTCATTCATCTGAAGCATCTACGCCTGTCTTATCAGGCCATTCTGAATGCGTCATTGACGTCATGACGTCATCCTGATGAATGCGACTCGTAAAAATGTTGACAACGCTTCTGCTTTCTGGACGGGAGCCCTCATATGCTGGGCGAAGGTGTTGATTATCTAACGATTAGTTTAAAGGCTTTTCTATTCTAATGTTCCCAAGCTTCCAATAGCACCAAGTCTGCCTTGTGATTAACAGGCTGCATTTTAAGGGAGCCCGCCGGATCTAGTTTCCGCGGGCTGGTGATGCTGCTGCGTACTGGCCTCAGACAGACCGGCTGCGGAGCAAAGCCAGCCGCTCTCGGGCGGCAGGGCCGCCACTCGGCAGCTGCTGTTTGAGCCGCGTCTCGCACCGCCGTGTGTGACCTGGCTCCCGTGCCGTACCGGATCCCCCGGCGGGCGGCGGCTGGGCGGAGCCGGCTCTGGCGGCAGCCGACGCCTTCAGGCCGGGCGCCTGCTCCATCACCGCCCCCCCCCCCCTCCCGGCCGCTGTGTCTGTGGCACTGAGGTCACAATGCCATCCTAATCGCGTTAAAGGGTTTGGGCGTGTCAGAACAACTGCACCGACTTTGTTCTCCGCAATAAAACGGAAGTTTTTTTCTGCAAAGCGTTTGTTCTGTACCAACACATACAACTGCATGGAGAGAAGGCCGTCTCGGCAGCGTTTTGTTCAGTCAAACTCGCCGTAACGCCACGGCCGGGACTGCTGCCAAAGTTGTGAGTACTACAGATGTACGCGATGCAATGTTTGAAAGTGCCGCTGTCGTTCCATAAAGTCTCATTCCAGTACCATAACTTCTCAGAATTGCTGCATCGTAAAGAGCAAACGCCTGGCATGAATAAAGCGTCGTACAAATCAGGGACAGACGGTGCAACTTTACACGTCTCAGCTCAAAAAACTGAATAGTTTGTGCGCCCAATCCTGCTAATGCGGGCTCGGTAGCTGCGTGCCGTGTCTTTTTTGTGCGTCGTGATTTAGGCCGTCTCCACGGCTGCCGGCACTGCCGGCGCCCCCGAAATCTGCGATCTCGGCCGTCTCTACCGCTGCCGGCGCTGCCGGCGCCCCCCGAAATCTGCGATCTCGGCCGTCTCTACCGCTGCCGGCGCTGCCGGCGCCCCCCGAAATCTGCGATCTCGGCCGTCTCTACCGCTGCCGGCGCTGCCGGCGCCCCCCGAAATCTGCGATCTCGGCCGTCTCTACCGCTGCCGGCGCCCCCCGAAATCTGCGATCTCGGCCGTCTCCAATCGGCTCGATGTGGCGGCCGGCCGTGGACTTCACTGCATTGTGAGGCCTCAGCTCATTGAAACGAGGCTCTCAGAAGACAACCGTGGCTTTGGTGCCATTGTGTTCAGGCTGCACTTCGTGGAAGCCTCAAGCGATGTCGTTCGAGCAAACTGGCTCGGCCATTTTTGTTTCAGTTTAGTGCGAGCGCTTTGTAATGGAAAGGCGTCAAGAAGGGTGCCGTCTCGGCTTCTCCGTGTAGCCACGATGCAATTGTTTTCAGTTGAACGGGCTTATAAAACACTAAACCATTTCTCCAAATGCCTGCGCCCGAAAACTGCCGGCGGTATGTGACCTTTGCCAGCGCTTAATAGCCTTATTCGGCGTGTGCAGTGCTACTTCTCTTGTATTGCTTGATGCCTCGTGTCCATTTATCTGAAGTACCTCCACATGTCCTTGGCCATGGTGATAAATGCGTCCCGTAGAAATGCTAACAACGCTCCTCGTTCGTGAATGTGTGAGCCCCAGCTTGCCTCTCAGCGCCACGTTGGGGTGAGTGGCGCGTCGCTGGCGCGCGGCTCAGTGCTGCAGCCCTTCCGCGTTGTTTTTCCTCTCCTGCCGTCTGATTGCCCGGCCCGACTGTACGTGAGAGCTGTCGGCCGCACTCGTTTGTTACGGTGCGTCTGAGTAACGACCTGACGGAATAATGCGATGATTTCTGCCAGCGTGTCGGCCGGTGCCCCCCGCTCCCCACCCCGTCACACCCACCCCACCCCTGCCGGCAGGTGTTCGTGGAGCCGCTCTCGCAAGACGACCTGGAGCACATCGTGCTGTCGACGCGTCTGCCGGCGGGCGGCCGCTGTCCGCCGGCGGCTGACGTGCGCCGCATGGCTGACTTCAGCCGTCGACTCAACGCCGCCGTCCACGGCCGGCGCGAATTCGGCCAGCGCGGCGGGCCCTGGGAGTTTAACCTGCGCGACATCACCAGGCGAGTGGGGTCGGCGACGACCGGCTGCACCCAGCGCCGGCTGGGTCGGCGTGGGAGCGGCCGGCGGTGACCAGCTGCACTCAGCGCCTGCTGGGCTGGTGGGGCAGGGGCCGGCGGCCACCGGCTGCGCCCAGCGCCGGTTGCTTGGGCGGGGCAGTGGCCGCCGGTGACCGGCTGCACCCAGCGCCGGTTGTTTCGGCGGGGCAGGGGCCGGCGGTGACCGGCTGCACCCAGCGCCGATCGCTTCGGCGGGGCAGTGGCCGGCGGTGACCAGCTGCACCCAGCGCCGGCTGGGTCGGCGTGGGAGCGGCCGGCGGTGACCAGCTGCACCCAGCGCCGGTTGCTTCGGCGGGGCAGTGGCCAGCGGGGCAAGGGCCGGCGGGCGGGCGCGTGTTCGCCGCTTGCCGCAGCGATGCGGGTCTGACGCGAGGCTCTGTGGCGGATCGCCGCACCAGGCCGCGCTTCATCAGATGGCCAATCCGCCTCCGGGAAACGGTCCCCCGAGGGTGGGCAGTAATGCTTTCCGGAATGGAGGATGCTGGCGTCCGATAACGGATGATCTTTTCGTGGAAGGGCGGTTTGGTGCCTTGCGAGAAGACTGGCGGCTGAAGCGCCGGAAATTCGGCGTTGTTTGGGCAAAGTCGAACGGATGCGATCAACAGGGAAAATTGATAGATCTCGAGTACGTGCCTATATTACCTTATATGCCATGGCTCAATAGAAGCTTCATTCGATTTCCGCCCATCGCGAGTTCGAAAAGCTTGACTGCGGAGCACGTCCCCGGATAGTCAGGTGCGGTGGGGTGGGCTTTTGCTCTCTAAGATATCAAAAAGGTCAGAGGACTAGATACTCCAAATTCACAACGTAAGTTGACCTTTGGGGTGCAGTCCCTTGTGTCAAATTTTGAAATCCGTCGGTCTTGACTTTCTGGTGAAATGAGGTCAAACATGGTCAAACTTCAGATCGGTGTCTGAAGTACCCTCAGACCCCACGCAATCAACTTTAACGTACCCATCTTATCTAAGCAAAAGGCCACTGGTGTTCAAATCAGCTGATTGACCGTATTTGGCCTTTAGGTCATAGTGACCAAAACCCATCGTGTTTATCGTGATATTTGAATTCACGATAAGGGTCAAGAACTTCTGTAGGCGGCATGTTCCTCACAGGTACGGGTTGATTAAGGTCATTTCAAGTCATTAACCTCCCTTGAATTTAATACGTCAAGATTAGGAATATCTTGGTGTCTTTGTGGTCAAAGAAGCCGAAAGGTGTGTCGAAAAATACTCTAGGAAGCCAATTTTCCAGTTAAAACTGGTTTGGCTGTGACTACCATCTGGCCTTCATAGCTGACCCAAGGGCAATGGAATTAGGTGTAATTTCGATTTGAGTTGTCCAAATGCCTGAGAAACCATCCTATAGTTAACTAGTTTTTTTCGAAAACGACGTAGCAGCTTTGAAAGGTGCACTAATAAATTAGTATCGCCTGCACCCATCGCCTGATTTCGACCTGCTCGTGTTAGCCAACTGGTGGCTAATTTTTGTGCTAAAATATACGCCTTTTTCAATTGGCTAGCGCTGCATAAAGATTGTTGTGACCATGGCGCACAGTTCAGAAGTTGTCCTGGAAAAGACGAGAGGATGGCTCAAATTGACACTCACCGGAGTACGTGTTAACATATTGCTATTGCGTTTTGGAGACGAATTATTGCTGAAAGCGCACTTGTGTCACAGGATCATTAAACCGGCGTTGGACAGCCGGGATGTTAGGGAAAATATTTATGCCCAGATGTATTTTTTTATGAGTGGTAGCTAAATCAGAATTCAGGTCGTTTTTCATTGCCTTAGGGTTCGGGCAACTTGGAATCCGGCGGGTCGTGACCCAGCTACGGGTCACGACCCGTCGGTGTTTGTCGTCGGACTGCGTGTGGATCGTCTGGTGTTGAAATTGATTGCCAGCTGTGCTTCAGTTCCCTGACATCACTGTTTTCGGAAATAGCGACGTCAATTGGTTGATCACATACATGCGTCTTACAATTATTGGCAATGCTATGTTAGTGAACCTTATCAGTTCGAGATTGGGGCGAACTTGTGTTCGCCACACGCATTTGCGTTTCACTAACTACCCAAAATCGAATTCGTCGTGGCGCTTTTATGATGCGTTGCCCCATTCCACGATTATCCACAAAAGCAGCAAACTAATCGCTGTGATGTTTTCGCTGGCTCGTCGTTTTGCCTCTGAATTGGTTTCTTTAGTTCGGCTGTCCTATTGTCCGAACTTCAAATCTAATGTGGAACTTGGCCCGGAGTTTCCCCACTGCCGCATTTCATCCGCTCTGATTTCGCCATTCGCGGCGAGATGGGTTCAGCTTGTATGGGCTCGTTCATCGTCCGCGCCCTGACGCGCGCGGGTGTCGTGTGCGCCGTTTTTGCCGCCGCTACCGCGCCGCGAACAGCGCAGGGTGTAAGGCGGCCATCCATTGCGACCGCGGCCCCTTTGTCCGGCCTGAACAGCGGCATTCAGCGACCGCAGCCTGTATGCCTACGGCAAGTGTTGGGCCGGCCACTTGTAACGAAGGCGTAGTCGAGGCGCTGCCCCGCATCGCGGCCGTCGTCCTGCGGCCGGCTGCCAGGCGCCGAGGAGCGCGAAGGTCCGGGCCGGGGAGGATAGGGAGGGCCCGGGCCTCCCGGGCGCCAGCCGCTGTCTCGGTCAGCGGGGGAGTCGGCGGGAGACCAGGGAGGCCCGGGCCGCCCGGGCGCCAGCCAGCGTCTCAGCTGGCTCTGTGCGCCCGCGGAACAGGCTGCGGACCTGCCATTTGTTCCAGCCGACCAAAGTGACCCCACGTTCCGTCGCTCTGCCAGAGAACTGGGCCAAGGTGATTCACCCTACGCGTTTTAGCAAATGTAACCCTTTTCTATGCACGTATTTTTGGCCTAATTCA